GAAAAAAATTAAAAAAAAAAAAAAAGAGCATCACCACTTGAGAAGCAGAGATACTGATGCTTACAATAGAGACGTGGAGCTCACAGTTCCATACAGATCTTTCTTCACACTGAGTATGATTGCCACCATAATTGCTGGGATCCCTAGTGTGGGGAAGCAAGCCAAAGGCATACCATTAGGAAGCAGGGGAAATATCTGGATCAATGAATCTGAGCCCTGATAAGTTAAGACACTGTTTAAATGAACCATAGATGTGCGGGCATCAAAATACCATTGCTTACAAAATGTTTGTAAATTCTTCTAAGTTAAACACTTCTAGGAGTTCTCCAATCTGCTAAACTAAACTGCATACCAGTGGCTCCAATATAACACCCACTGGTTATTTAAAATAGCTGAAGTACCAAAAATCGACTTGGCAATAGAAGTATCTAGTTCATTGGAATGCATATTCACATCAAGCCTTTCTTCTTACCTGCCAATTTTATCTCTTGTTCAATGCTGCCCCTTATTTTCTGGTATCTTTTTGTCTAGGTCAACTTGGAAAAAGGGCACAGGCAATCTGCTGCAGCGTTCAGTGTTTTTCTGACAGGGGAACTGTTTCTTTCTACACTCATTACTAATTTGACATTTTGACTAGATTGGCCAGTTAACAACCAGTCAATTCAGCCAGACTATAATGAAGCAATTAGTTCAGTCAAAGTGGTCAACGTGATGTGAGTATAGACACAAGGTTTAAAAATCTAATTTCGTGTACATTTGCAAAACTTAAATGATTTCTTTATTTCTAACAATGTATTTCTCCTAAACTAATAGCATTACTACACCTACACCCATTTTAAGGGTTTTTAAAAAGCTGTTCCAGAGTGCCAAGCATCTTGAGAAATCCTCCACTGTCCTATTCAGTGATAAAGAGGACAGTTCCTTCAGATCTGCATTTTGCTCATCTAGCACAGTGCCTAGTGTGATATAGCTATTTGAAAAAATTCCTGTTGGAGACCAGAAGGGAGGGATGGAGGGAGGCCTCACATTTAAAATGGAAGTTGTGATGCAGTCCCCAAGTTCTGTTTACACTTTGATAATTAAAACAAACCAAAAAAAAGATGCCTAACAGATTGTTATTTTTAAAATTTGGGCAAATCTGCCTTGGAAAGGGACTTAAATAAAGGAATGAAATCTTTTCAACAGGTAGCTTTGGCATTAGAAAGACAGAACTTCAAGCATAAGCAGATGCTAATATTCATTTTCCTTACAGCTGATTGCATTTATCTAATATTTAAGTGCTCTGAAACTCTCTGTAGTGGACAGCTCTGAACTTGTTCCCTGGCAACCTTGCAGGTATCAACATAGGCATAGGCTTGAACCACAGCTAATCTAAATTTTGGCGGAACACCTTATGATCCTCCATAAATTCAAGAAGGCTGCAAGCTTGTGAGAAAGTGCTCCAAGGTCATCTCCTACTTGCCTCTCTATCTTCTCTTGGAGGCTATCATGAGACAGTTTCTCATTGCCTCCAAGTTCTGAGGAGGTGTGGGGATTTGCACCCTGCCTCCTCAGAAGAGAGCTGCAGAATATAATACTGCATAGCTTCAGTTTAGAGCTGGCTCCTCAACAACAAGGAATCCCACAACTTGTGTGACAGCATCTGTTCCCTTTTATTTTGGTATCATTCCTCATAGTGTGTGAGACAATGACTTGGGAGCTGACGCTTTTAGCTATTCTTCCTCTTGCCGTCAATGTAAGCAATAAACTATAAAAGTGGCCTTGACTTGTGTGTGTACTTGACACTCCCCAAGTTTTTTCTTCCTCCAATGTACCAAGCTTTAGCTTTTCCTGCCTCTAAAGTACCCCAGGAAGTGGGTGTAAAACCAGAAGATCAGAGATAAGAAGTCAGCCCTGGGGAACACCAACATTTAAGAAGCAATGGTCTAAAGGAGGAATGGTCTGAAGAGGAAGATGAAAATAAATGATGATGAGGGAGAAGGAAGGCCAGGATCAAGTGCTATTCACAGCTCCTTCACAGTTATCCATATGTGGGTTTTCAGCTCTTTGGGTTATTTGTGAAGACTTTTCCACAACTTTTTCAACCTCCCAGTTGACAGTTGACTGGAGATGAAAGATGTGAGACATAAATGAGAGAGTATTGACTGCTTTTGGCTCTGTTTCTGATGGATTCCAAAGTGCATTAAAACAATTTTTTAGATTATGCTTCCTTTAGTACTTGCCTGTCTCTATTCCCCACATTAGCATAGATAACAGCACTTATCGTGTCCAATGAAAGCTTGTAGTATGTTAATTAACTCATTAAAAGGATGAGTAGCTAATTGGGAAGCTGTTGTCTTTAGAAAAGCAGTGGAAGATAAAATCTGTCTCCCTATATATCCTACTCATCCCACTAAATATGCACCTCCTATGTGTCCAGCATATTTTCTGAATTCAAAATCTGTTTTGAATAGGGAAGGGGGTGAGGGGAAAGGAGCTGAGCCGACCCTGTCCGTTAGAAATACAGTGAAGCAATCCAATGAAATGACATATAATTTAGGAAATTTTCATGCTGAGTTTCATCCCTGGCTACTTCCAGAGGGCAGCAGTGATAGTGATAGTCATGAGGTATGGTGATAATCAGGGCATGTCTGACTGAGCACCCTTTCACACGTTGGAAGTCCTTTCCCTGTCCTTTAAACAATATGGTTAGATGACAGAGGTTAAAAGTCCTAACTATGGAGACAGATTCCCTGGTTCAAATCCCAGTTCTGCCAGTTAGTAACTGGCTGTGTGAGTTTTGGTGAAGTACCTAATCTCTTTGTAAGTCAGTGTCTGAATCTATTAAATGGAAATAATAACTATAGATTTTGTGAAGATTAAATTAGTCCGTAAAGCACTTAGAACAGTTTCTGGCATATATAAGTGCTGCTAAGTGCTGGCTGTTATAACAGTAAGCTTGTGTGGGGATTATAATTTCCATAAAGGGAAGGATAAAATCAGACAGCTCACTACTGTAGATCAGAATTTAGCATATACACAAGCAGGTGTCCACTAAATATCTGTGGACCCATTCCTCATCATGGAGGTTAAAGGTTGAATTTCTAGATCAATATAGGTAGAAAAAGAGATGTACACCCAAGTACCAGTGAGGTAATCCTTAATTCCTTACCTACGATAATAACAGAATTTGGTCGCAAATAATTTGTCTAATGGAACTAGAATTAGAAAGACACACAGGCTTAAAACAGAGACATCAAGGACAATGACAATATACTTACCCCAACCAACCAGGCAAAATTTAAGGATATAGTTGGGAACATAAATGTTGAAGACTTTAACTAGAGCAAAATACATGTGGACCGCCTCCAGGCCCATCCATGTCAAAGAAACAAGCAGGAAGTAATGAAGTGCTACTGCTGCTGAAATACAAAGTCCCTCTGTCTGAAATGATGACGACCAAGAATTGAACAGAAATACCAGGTTTAGCATAAGTAGTGCAGTACACAAATTGATCAGGATTTTAGAAGGATGATCTTTTCGAAGTTTGCTAAAAGAAAAGGAACATAGTTAAGTAGTGTCTCTGTTTTTAATCAAGCCTTGCCACATGTTATCTGCATAATAAGTGAAAGAATGAAAAACTGCCTATTAAAATTTAATTATTCATATTACTTTACATGTACTGAATTTTAGAGTCCTCCACCCTCTTTCCAGGAAGAGTCAACGTGTCCTAAGCATAGTGACCTTTACTAACAGGATTAATAATAACCTCCCTCAGCTAAGCAGTCCCCTTTTTCTTTTTTGGGAGGAGGAAGAGGAAGGAGTAACCTGGATATACAATTCTATCATCACTCCATCATACTCAAGATTGTATCTACATATAATCAAACAGCAAGATGACTATGCAAACCATTTCAAGTGGTTACGTCTATATTTCCAAAGACCCAGACATTTGGCATCATGGAAATATGACCTTAAGTTTCACTAAATGATTACAATTGTACTTTGTGACAACTGACCCAGCATTTTCCAAATTAGAAAAATATCTATATCCCTTTGATTCTTTTTTATTTCTATTAAGTATTTATTGATTTAAATTTTGCAATTTTCATTTGGTGTAAATGTGAGTTTTTAAAACTGAGGTAAATAGTGACATATACAAATCTTAAGAATGCAACTCAATGAATCTTTACATATGAATATACCTGGGGAAACTCCACCCAGATCAGGACATAAATATTTTAAACATCTCAGAAGGCTCCTTAATTCCTTCTCCCATTAAATACCCCCCTAGAGGTAACCAATATTCTAACTTTTATCCCCATATATTTAGTTTTGCCTATACTTGGAACGTCATGTAAATGGAACCATCTTGTCTTCCTTTGCTCAACTCTATGTCAATGAGAATTAGATATTATGTCGTATTGTATAGAAGCAGTTCATTCTTTTTTAAATGAATATACCAGAATTTATTCATCCAGTCACCTGTTAATGTACACTGGGATTTCCAATTTTTGGCCACTATGAATGAAGCTACTGTGAATATTCTTGTATATATCTTTCTTAAGTGTCTATGCCATTCTTGCATTCCCACCAGCAATGTAGGTGTTCTAGTTGTTCTACATTCTTGTTGACACTTGCTATTTTCAACTTTTTAAATTTAAGCCATTCTGGTGGGTGCATAAAAGTATAATTGTGGTTTTAATTAGCATTTCCCTGATGAATAATGATGCTGAGAAATGTGCCATATGCTTATTAGCCATTTGGGTAAGGATTAGAGCTAGGCATGGATATCCTCTTTTGTGAGGTACCTGCTCAAGTCTTTTGCTCATTTTTAAACTGTATTGTATGTCTTTTGCTTTTTGATTTTTAAGAGTTTGTGTATATTCTGCATACAAGTATTTTGTCAAATATATGCCTTGTGAATATCTTCTCCTAATCTGTGGTTTGCCTTTTCACTATTTTTGATGAAAGAAGTTTTTGATGCCTTTTGATGAAAGAAGTTTTTAATTTTAATGATGCCTTTTGATGAAAGAAGTTTTTAATTTTAATGATGCCTTTTGATGAAAGAAGTTTTTAATTTTAATGAAGTCCAATTTATCAACTTTTTCTTTTATTATTAGTATTTTTATATCCTGTTAGAGAAATCTTTTCTTATCCCAACTCTCTTGCTTTAAAAAAATCCAATTATAATGTTCTTTTTTAGAGGAGCCTTGGTTGTTGTTGTTCTAACCTGTTCCCTTCAAAATCTAATGGATTTGACCTCTTCCCATTGTGATGAATCAGAACCTTTTATAAAATTAACAAGGCTAAAATGACAACAGCATCCATCAAACCAAGTTAAATTTACTCAGAACAAGGCTCTATCAACTTACCGAAAAGCTACGTATGTCACCATTGCAATTCCTAAGAAAATGGAGGAGATTCCACATCCAGTGTATGTTATAAGCACTAATATCCGTTCATTCACTGCATCCACTGCAGATCTTGATAAATCCTAGGGAAAGCAATGTGTTATATTTTATACATTGGCCAGAACAAGTTTATGGTAAAACTCTTCCAGTGCTAACAGGAGGTTCCCAGGGTATATAGCATCTCTGCTACAGCTCTAATTAAACCAAAGTATGTAGATGGATATATGATAAGACTGCATATTGTTTGTTGAATATGCCTATTGCAGTTTACAGTGTACAGAGCATAAAGAGCCATCAACAACACTGGAAGAACACTTAGTCCTCACTTTTATTTTCATTAACACGTCCCAAACTAATAGATGCTAATTGGGGATGCAAAGTGAATCATTGCCTGAACTAAGCATTCCAAAACACTACACAAAACATCAAAAACAAACAAATGTTCCTTTTTTCTTATACCTTAGGTAACTTTCATAAAATTAAGAGACAAAATGAACCTTGGAGATCACATAATCCAGCAATTTCTTAACCTGAGGACCATAAAAGATCTGAAATGTCATACAAAATTATTTGAATATATGTGTGCATTGTTCTGGGAAGAAGGCCAATAGCTTTCATCAGATGGTTACAGAGATTCATGACCAATAAAAGGTTAAGAGTCACAGGTCTACTCTGGTAATTCTCAACTGGAAGTGGTTTTGTCCCTCCACTAGGGACATTTGGCCATGTCTACAGACATTTTTGGTTGTCACAACTGGGGAAGATGCTACTGGCGTCTAATGGGTGTAGGTCAGGGATGCTGCTAAACACCTTACAATGCACAGAACAGCCCCCCACAACAAAGAATGATTTGCCCAGAATATCAATAGTGCCAAGGTTAAGAAATCCTGGTCTACTCAAATCTTTCACATTTCAGAAGACAAATCTAAGGTCCAAACAAATGAAACAAACTTACCAAAATCACACAGGTACTTAGTGACAGAACTAGGATGTGAGCCCCAGTCTTTTGACTTCTACTGTAATGTTCTAACCAATTTGGAGAAGTTAAACAAAATTCTTACAAGTCAATAAGTACCAATAGAACACCTCTTATTTGTTGAATACATATGGTAAAAATAAAGAAATATAAAACAGATCTCAGCCCTCAAGGAGCTTACTATTAGTAGAATAAATAACTCATGCTTAGTCTACATTGCATTAAAATAACAGTATATAATATATAATAAAGTAACTTAAGATAACTAAGAAAGTACTCATGGGTGGGTAGAGAAGAAAGAACATATTTCAGGGCCATTTTGAAGGAAAACTCAACAAGTTCTGATATTAAGGACAACTGTAGGGAATGAAGGAGATAGAAGATTTAACAATGATTCTGAAACTTTAAGCCTGGATATGTGAATTGACCAGATAACTCTTGTTTGGTTAACTACTGCAAGTATTTTTTAAAAATTCATCTTTCCTACACTACAATTTGACAATAATTATTAAAATTAAAATTAAAAAATATATATATATCTTTATTGACTTCAGAGAGAAGAAAGGAGAGGGAGAGAGAGAGATAGAAACATCAATGATGAGAGAGTCATTGATCGAGCCCGCAACCCGGGCATGTGCCCTGACCAGGAATCGAACCCCGATCACCTGGATCCCAGGTTGACGCTCAACTGCTGAGCCACTCCTGGCCGGGCAAAAATTAAAAATTTTAATGACTATACCATTTACCCCAGCAATTATACTTCTATCAATTTATCTTACATAAGTAGTTACATCAGTGTTAGTAGATAAATAAATAAAAATGGTTATTACAGCATTGTCCATAATGAATAAAACAGTAACAACTAAAATGCCTACCCATTGGGAATTGGTTAAATTCATTGTGTTAAATCCATACAATGGAATACAATAAAGACATTTAAAAATTGAAATAGATGGATACACATTTTCTTGAAAGGTGTCCAATATATATATGTTTTGGTGAAAAGCAAGTGGTAAAAACAGTATAAATAACTTGACTTGATCTCACTTTATAAAACAAAAACATACATTAATATAAATATAGAAAAACATTCAGAAAGAATATACATAAATGTATTAAAGGTGGTAATCTCTTGGGAGGGGGATTGTAGGAACCTTTTCTCTAATGTTTGAATTTTGAGGAACAGTTATTAATTTTATAAGGAGAAAAATAAATATTTATTTTAATTTGCTCTACTTTGGATGAACACAGGAAAGCTTTTTTCTTCTTGCATGTCACTTTTCTATAACTTAGTTCACAAATATATTCCTGGACTGTAATCCAATAAAAGTTGTCAAAATTCTATCAAGGAGTGATTAAGAGACAACTCACCATTAAGACTCCAAAATGGGTGAGGTGGTCACAATGACATATTGTGTAATTTATATTTGTTTCCTTTACTTTACAGCCTGATGAATTCCATCCACCTCGCCCATCTGCAGGAGACAGAAGGAAGTTTGAAAGCAATTTTTGTTTTTCTCAGAAATATTTAACTTTTCATTGTATGCACCTTCCAAACGTGTCTTATAATTAATATTGTTTGTTAAGACAGCAACAGAGAGGTATAATTGAACACTGAAATTAAATTAAGTCTAGTAAGTTAAATTGATTTGGGGGGGACTTCATAAATGTCATAACTTCTAGGCTCTCACTTTTCCTGTTCCTGTACAGACTATGACAGACTCTAATCATGAGCAAAAGTCCTGCCACCATGCTGGAGCAACAGAATAAGGACTGTTCTCTTTCAAGTAGCACAAATAGGAAACAGGTAGATCTAGAACTTTTTGAAGGACATGAGTTATGGAATAAAGGCTGGCACTTGGGTATACTCAGTGGGACTGGACTAAACATTTGAAATAACCAGTTCAACCCAGAATTCAAATAATCTCAAGTGCTTTGCACTCAAGCCAGATCATGGTCTGAAGTTCCTTAGGGCCAATTAAAGTGTCTGGTCTACTGAACACCTGCTTAGTTTCTCGCTCCTGAGCATATTCAGGATTCTCGCACCAACCCTCAAACCTCCATAACCTGCAGATCTTTGGTGCTAGACTAGATTTAGAGTAGAACCTCCAGGGTAGCAACAGACCAAGGAAGTTATTCTAGGGCAGACAGCTAAGTATGATCAACATTTTTCCATCCAGGATAACTCCATCAATTCCAGAGGTTCTAGACCCATGGACAGAGGGGTGGGGACAAAGGGTGGCCTGGAGGAGCCCAGGAACTGGCATTAATGAACAGATCAATTTATTTAGGATGTGGGGGGCAAAGCTCATCATTTTATAGGACTCTTATCCTGAGACACATGGAAGGGACTAGGAAAGGACAGTGCTATTTCTGTTGTAGGAAAAGAGTAATATTCCCACATCCCAGGGAGTTGAATAGGAAAAGACTTTCTCTTTTTTCTCAGAATTTCAAGGATATTGAAAAATGACAAGTTCCCAGGCAGAGCTTCCACAGGTGGAAGGACTAGCCACATAGCCACTCCTGGCACTCCAGGGGAAATTGATTCTGTGTCGGAATTCTCTGAGATTAGTCAATATCCCTGAAGATTCAAATGGAGATGGCAAGCCTAAGAGGGATCAATTCAGCATTTTATCCCCAACCTCTTCTCTTACTGTCCCCAGACTCATACCTAGGCAATCAGGAAGGGCCCTTAAAAACTAAGCAGAAAGTCTTATCCCTTCAATGAAAAGATAAAAAGATTGGACCCCCAAGAGACTAAAGGATACACAGTTGGGCTAGAAGAGATGAAGAAAAAAAGGGAAGGAGCTAGTAGTAGATGTTGCAAGTCTCCAAGGGAAACCACAGATAAAGAGCCAGGTGTTCATTCCTTAACTTTCTTCAAACAGCTCAAGGCCAATCTTCACTGGATCTTCTAGCTTTCTTTCTTCCAGCTTTGTTTACCCTTGAGTTGTGTGATTTTCTGATCTCCCAAATAAGTCTCATGAAAAAGAAAATGTTTTTTAAACTCTCATGCCCTAATTGGTTATGAAACTCATATTTGTATCTTGGCCAATCAGAGTTCTCTGTAGCGTCTCATAAGACAGTAGCTTCGGTACAACTCTCTTCCTTCAACTGCCAAAGAGGAAAATGGTCAGGGGCAAAGTCCTACTGAAAGCCTAAGACAAAGTTTGCTAAGAAAAATACTTACTGTTATTCTCAAAGTCCCAAAAGGCACAGTGAACTTGATCATAATTCTAGAAAAAAGAAAAATCAGAGGTAAACACCTTTCTTTGTGATAGTTACCACACAACAGCAAGTACAGACGTGGTTTTTCCCCCCAGTGTTTTTTCAAACAGTAGACACACACACACACACACACACACACACCATTTATGAGTTGTTGTTTTAAATTATATCTTTATTGATTTCAGAGGGAGAAAGGGAGAGGGAGAGAGAGGTAGAAACATCAGTGATCATTGATCAGCTGCCTCCTGCATGCCCCGAACTGGGGATCGAGCCCGCAACCCGGGCATGTGTTCTGACTGGGAATCGAACCTCGATCTCCTGGGTCATAGGTTGATGCTCAACTGCTGACCCAAGCCTAGCTGGTCTGTGAGTTGGTTTTAAAACTAACCCTAGGTAACTTGGGATTTACAAGTGTGAAAACAGCATGTTACTGCATGATGATCTGGTATATGTCCCTTAAAATATTTGGTAACATGAATTTTCCACACTCTCCTCATGAGAGGCCCAGGAGGAGGCTGTGGATGGTCCATGCAGGTCTGATGTGTGGGAGGTGTTCCTTATGGAACTTTGGAATTTGGGGCTCAAAGCTGAGATCAAGCCTTATAGATACAAGGTTGAGCTGCCTCCCTATTAGGCCTAATGAGCATTCCTGAGGTCTCACAGGCTCCTACAATCTCCAGGACTGAAGACAATAAGAAACTGGTTATTGGGGGATGCATGGAGTGCTGTAGACCCAGCCTGAATCGAAATCTTACCTATCTAACATGTTTCATTTGGTATCTGTGTGGGTTTTTTATTCCCCTCCCACTCTTCCTTCTTCCCTTCTAGAATTAAGAGCTGTGAAAAATATGATGTACCATATGGTCTTTTAGATTGGGAATGAAGGAAGCTATCAAGATTTCTCACTGGACATACATTAACATCAAAGAATGTAACAGTAGTTCATTATTATACCATGGCTAAATTTTGATAATTCAGTAATATATACCTTATGTGTTTCCATATGACTATGGTTTTAAACCTTTGGTGATAATACATATTTTAACACTCTGCATAGAAATTCAAGGGATAAAATGTTCAATTATTTTGAATTAAGTTGTTTGTCTCACTCATAAATAAATGGAATTAAATACCATTTAGTATGATGGGACAACCAAAAGTCCACTTGCCCATAATCACTCCTTTGCCAATCTGTCACAGTGCTAGAAGCCCACCATTAGTTATCCCTTTAAGCTAAGGCATTATTTCTAGAAACCCCAATTACAATACAACTCAGCTACCTAGAATGGAATAATCTTCATTAAGTCTTAGATCACATCTTGCTAACTAGCCAATTATTTTTCATGAAAAAATCATGGAGGGGTTCTGAGGCCTTTTTATTCTGAGATGAAAATGGATATGTTACCTGGTTTCCTTCAGTATGCTGCAGAGTAATAACTACTGGGTCGGCCAAGTTTCGAATGGGTGTATCTGAAATGCTGGCACTCACAACATATGTAGTTAATGCTTTAGTGGCATTTTTGATCTATAGATAAAACATAAGGAAAAGGAATTCAGGTTCTAAGTTTCTAATTTTTGCATGTTAATAATCAATCTAGAATTAGGTAGAGAAATATGGAAAATAAAATCACAAGCTAAGAAAGAATTTTTAGAGGTTATTTAGTTCATTTCCTGTCTTCACATAAGGTCTCAATTATACCAAGCTAGAACAATTTATTAATCCATCCACATATCCAAATATCTACCTAACAGGCACTGTTTTTGTGCCTGCTACTCAGTATTGCACTAACAACAAAATAAAATTATTCCCTACTTTGATAACTCTCTGGACCTTGATATGTCCCAGTTCTAACCCTCAACCATCTTTACTTCTCAGGAGCCCTCCTTATAAAGAACATAAATCCATCATGACTTAGTTATAAGCCACTTCCTGTTCCATACTCACTGGAAATGGAAATAAGTTGATCAACATCTAGCTTGGAACAAGTCTCTGAGGACATTCATCCCCTCCCAAGGGAACCGTGAACTCTGAGGCCAGAGCACAGGCATTATGTGTCCTGTTGTCCCCCACATGGCCTAGCGCACAGTAGGTATTTTATCTTGTACCCACAGTAAGTCAGTTACTTTGTTAGGTGTTTTCCACATATACTACCTTCAGTGCTCATTGAAATAATATAGGCATTTTTCAGTTAAACTGAGGCTTGGGGAGGCTCAAAAACCTGGAGAAAATTCACACAGCTAGTGAGTGATAGAGCAGGGCTGCTAAACAAATGTTGGTTTAAAGAAACAAACCAGAATATATCCCTTGAGGTAAGGAGCTTGATAACTAACAGAGCCAAAGTGTTTCATGTCAAGGCTTCGGGAGGCAAGGCAGTTGAAGACTGCCTCTTCTGGTGCACAAGTGAAGAAATGAAAAATAAGGCAGGTACAAGACAGAAGGGAGGGGAAGCAAATCCTCTGAGGACTTGTCAAGAAAATTTAGAGGAGGCGAGCCCAGATTATGTCCCTTAGGGAGCCTACTGGGCCACTTTTAGAAGCTGCCAAGTCTTCTCTGAGCCCTGCGGCCACTGAGAACTGAGTACCTATGAACACAGCCTGGGTCTCTACTTGGAAGCTACTCATTTCCTGTTCCTGACCAACTCTGTTCATCTAAAGCCAGTCTAATGGTTCAGAGCTCCCTTCCCAGCAGAATTGCTTTGGCATAGCCTGATGTGGAGGTGGATATGGTGGAAAGGGCCTTTGCTGACAGGCAAAAGACGAAGTGTAAGTCTAAGTCCTCCTGTTCCTTGAAAATCCTTTTCCCTTTCTGGGGCATTGGTGACATGAAGAAAAGTGGACCAGATGATATCTAACAACCCTCCCAACTTAGTCCAAGATGTACAGTTTTCTGTAGTAGAAAGGCCAAAGGAAGAGAAAAACCATGACCTAGGAAGATTTAATTAACCTATTCTCTGGGTTTATTTCCCTTACATACAAAATGGCGGCTATGCAAGGAAAGAACTAAATCATTTCTCATTCTTTCACCTATGAGATCTAGGTTCAAGTTTTACTTGTTTCACTTCTGAACTTTTACATAAGCTGTTCTCTCTGCCTGAAACACTCCTCCTTTTTCTCTTCACTATCTTTCATCTTCTAGCTCCTACTCAAGCTCAGGTCGCAGCTGATAGCTCTCTTACTCTAGGCCTTCTTTGATCTCCCAGACAAGGGTAGATGCCATCCTCTATGCTCCCAGGGCCCCTGTGCCATATTATACTTGCCTAGTGCTTTGTCCCTCTCCCTGAGAACTGGCACTAGTGGAGGACTGGAGGAGTGGTGTCTTAATGATTTTTAAGGTAATATGTTGTAATGACAGTTAATATTTTGATCAAAAGATGTTAGAAAAAGGAGTGTGAAAGCAAGCCTGAATAACTAACTGCATGAATAAATAAATAAATTGTGTTACCTCCAGCAGGTCCTTTCCCCTATCTGGGTCTCAGTTTCCTCATTGGTAAAATGAGGAGGCTCATTATGAGTTATAAGGGCCCTTCCATCCCTGGATTTGATGACAAGCTAGTTCTAATCCTTCTTCATCTGGCACTATGATGTCTGTAGGCTAATTTTGGCAAAGATCTTTAATCCTTTTCAATGGAAGGTGTTAGTGAATAAAAAATACTGATTAGGTGTGAAATCTATGCAAAGAAGTTTATCTTTTATTCTATGGAACAAGCACAGCCCACTGAAGAAAGAGAAAATTACCAAAATAATGGCATCTCAGATGATACAGAGAAATTACAAACCTACCAAAATGGTCAGAGTGTTATGAATCACATTCTTAATTTTTATTAAATTTTTTTTTTCATTAATTGGCTTGTTCTGTGTCCAACTTAATTTTTTCTATTAAAAAAGGTATAGTAGCTAGGCCAGAGTGGCTCAGTTGGCTGAGCATCATCCTGTGCACCAAAAGGTTGCTGGTTCATTTCTGAATCAGGGCACATACCTGGGTTGGGGGTTTAATCCCTGGTTGGGGCAAGTACAGAAGGCAACAGGTCGATGTTTCTCACGTTGATGTTTCCCTCTCTCTCTCTCTCTCTCTCTCTCTCTCTCTCTCGCTCTCGCTCTCGCTCTCGCTCTCTCTCAGCATGTGTTCGGGTGAAGCTTTAAAAAGGTATAATAAATATATATCTACAGAAAACATGTTGGATACTTAGCCCTATGCTGTGTACCACAAAAAAAAAACAAACATGTATGAGCCATGACATATGCCACAGCCTAGTTGGAAAACTACACAGAAGAATGAAACAAGAATGCAAGCAAGGGGCTCACAAACTTCAGGCAGCTTACGGAGTGGGATCTGAGCTAAGTCCACAGGAATAGATAGACTTTAGATAGATAGGGGGACTGGCTAGAGAATTCCAGTAGAACAGAACATCCTACAGACATAGCTGGAGACAATGTAGTATATTTAAGTTGGTATGTGGTATATTTAAGTTAGCCCAGAACAACCTCTCCCAAAATAACTCTGAATATTTGACCATTAGAAATTCATTCCTTTGACTAGCCTTTTTAGGAAATGCAAACATCTAGACAAGTTAATGTATTGACCTGTTAAATACTTGGGCTTTCGAATCAAAGCTGGGTTTGACTCATAGCTTTGCCACTTCCTAGTTCTGTGACTTTGGGCAAAATTACTTAACCTCTTTGTCTTAGTCTGTTCAGGCTGCTATAATAAAATACCACAGACTGAGTAGCTTATAAGCAACAGAAATCAATCTCTCACAGTTCTGGAAGCTAGAAGTCTAAGATTAGGGTGCCTGTATAGTTGGGTTCTGGTGAAAACCCACTCTCTGGTTCATAGATGGCAACTTCTTGCTGTGTCCTCACATGGTGGAAGAGGTGAGGGGGCTCTCTAAGGCCTCTTTTATAAGGGGACTAATCCCATTCATGAGGGCTCCATTTTCATGACATAATCGCCTCCCAAAACACCTCCTTTCTAATATCATCACCTTGGGGGTTAGGATTTCAACACAAGAATTTTGGGGGGACACATTCAGACCACCAGCATTCTTTGAGTCTCAGTTTCTTGTGAGAAGTACATGAGATAATAAATGTAAATATTGACAATTAATAGTAATCATCATCAACAACTTCACGCAAAGTCTTATTGCTGTCTTCCCAACAGCAACCTGAGACAGAGCAGGCTGAAGGAATGGGATTTTTGGTAAGGAGAGCCCCAAGACAGGAAAACAATAATAGCAATGCAAACACTTACATGGTGCTTATTATGTGACAGGCAATATTCTAAGCACTTTATATATATTAACTCTTTTAATCCTTCAACAGCCCAGTGTGGTACTGAATATTACTTTGTTTTACATAGGAGGAATCTAAGACACATGGAGATTGAGTAACTTGTCCAAGGTCACACAAGAAGATTATGGCATAGTCAGCTTTAAATTCAGCCAGTCTGACCCCGGAGTCCATGCTTTTAACCACCACATTATACTGCCTCTCTGTTTCAATAATGGGTGAGGACTGGAGGCCTCAGAGGAGGTGATATGGAGACAGTGAGAAGGAATAACAAATTCCTGCAAGCAATTGTCCAAGTGGGCACCATTCAGCTTCAATTAAATTGGCCTGAGAGAGTGGGCATGGTGGCTTTGAGGAAGCAGGGAGATTTGGGAGAAAAGCACTGACAAGCTGAAACAGCATTTCATCAGGAGAACTCGCTGTTCTTTTCTGGCTTAAAAAGATCTTGAGGACTCTGTTTGGTCACCAGATAATCCTTAAGGTCCCTTCCAAAGCTGAGAAGCTGTGAATATTAAAAATTGTGGAACATCATTAAAGTAGATGTTGATTCATGTTGAGAGCCAGGGTTTGTGCTGGGAGACTTGTGGAATAAATCAGAAGGCATAATTCTAAAATAAACAAACACCATGAAAATAGAGTTTATAATTACTGTGAGTCACCACATGTCAGTCCATGACCAGTTACCAAAGGCAAGAACTTACCTTAAAGAGTGAAGTTTGGCCAAAGAAATTAAACAAGATCGTCTGTAAGTTGCTAAGAGGAATTCTCTCCCTCAATGATTTAGGCAAATATATGGAAGCCAAAACCATCCCCAAAGGGACTTCACTTAGGTAAATCTGCCAAAAAAAGCCAAGAAATGAAAACTAGAGTAATCACCCATGAGCTTGAAGTCCTCCCCACCTCCCACCCCAGCCCAGCCTCAGCCCCAGAGTATCATATGGAGGGCTGAAGGATGGGAACTAGCTCCACATGCTATGCTATACCTTTTACACACACGCACGCGCACACACACACACACACACACACACATGTGCAGACATGTGTACACTCAGATCACAGGCTAAGACATGACCCGGTGCACATAGACATAGACACAAGCAGTACCCTTCTTTCTAAACCTATCCTTGAGTTTCTTTCCCTTTGATCTGCTTTCACCTGGATATTTATAAAGGTGGAAAGAGGAATGAAAAATTAAATGATATGCCACAATTCTCAGAAATAAAGGCCAGTCTTCTTCCATATAGTTCTAAGAGGGGGAAAAACACAGGAAAAAAAAACCAGTACAATGGCATTAAGCACTTCCCCATAGTTTATTAAGCAATGCTTTTGTTAATTGAGACAGGGAAGTGAAGTGTTTGGTCTTAGGAATTCTTCTAGAGGCTCACTACCAGAAGAATTTGTTGCTTTGACTGATAATAATATTTGATAAGTACTGGAGCATTTTTGACAGTGAAAGGGGGCTTTACCAATAATTACATTAGGACCACAGTTGTAAATGTGGATTCTCCCAGACAAAACAAAGTATATGGGCACTCTTACATGCATTCTCTCATTGAATCACTCTATCAATTCTGAAAAGTATGCTGTATTATGCTATCAGGAAATGGGGGCTCAGAGAGGTGAAGTGACTTGTCCAGGGTCACATAGTTGGGACATAATTTTACAAAGATATGTGTGATTTTGTCCCACATTTTCTCCATTATCCATGCTGCCTCAAGAAACTGTTATCTAACTGGGCACACTATGGGGAGATGAAAATTTATAATATTTCTAAGAATGATTTGTGATCCTAAAAGCCATATAGCTCTTCTCCTGGCACAGATGAAGTCTGCTAGGGCAATCAAGTACCATGGAGAAGTTATAATTTAGCTTCAACATGTAAGCAGTTTGGTACCAAGAATGTGATGGGGATTGGTTGGCTTGTTTCTCCATCAAAGTCTATAATAGAATACCCCATATGTAACCAAAATGCAATGGGAAGTCAACATCTGCTTCCTGTATGCCTGAATTGCTCCTAATGGATTTGACACTCCTGTATATAACAACTATACAAAATAACCATGACTTCAAGGCACTGGAAAATGAACTAAAGCAGGCAGATTTTGAAGAACAGTAGACATTTGGGAAAAGGTAACATCACAAGGTGAGTTAACAGTTTTTACAGCTTTAGTCTCATGGCAGGCTGAAACTAATAGTATGAAAGATGCTTAAAATTCCAATAGAAAATCTGCACTCTTTCTGGCATGAAGAACCATAAAAAAGGGTCCAGACAACCACAGCCACTGGAAAGTCAGTGACAAATCCTGGAGAACAGAGAGCCAGAAAAGGGGGAGCCAAAATTCTGAGTATGAAGTCTACCTGATCTCTGAACCACATATGTACAAAACAGACTTCAAGTAAGGATTACTGAGATTGAGCTTCCTTCCAAGAAATGGAATCTAGCCCGGCCAGGCATGGCTCAGCAGTTAAGCATTGACCTAGGACCCAGGAGGTTGCCATTGGATTCCCGGTCAGGGCACATGCCCAGGTTGCAGGCTCGATCCCCAATCAGGGCGTGCGGGAGGCAGCCGATCAATGACTCTCTCATCATTGATGTTTCTGCCTCTCTCTTTCCTTCTCCCTTCCTCCCTCTGAAATCCATAAAAATTAAAAATAAAATAAAATAAATGGAATCTACAGTTTGATTCCAACCAAGTTAATTGGTATAACAAAATCAAAAGTCTTCAGAGGAATATACTAGAATACAGAGTTTCCACAACATAGCACTCACAATATGCAAAACATAATCCAATATTACTCGATATGTGAAGAAAAAACAAATGTGATCCATTTTCAAGGAAAAGACAATCAATGGAGATCAACTTTGAGATGACTCAGATGTTAGAAATAGCAGACAAGAATTTTAAGGAAGCTAGTATAACTATGCTCAGGTATTTAAAATAAAATATGCTTGCAATTAATGCAAAAAGAGGAAGAAACAGCACAGAAACAGAAGCAAAAAAAAAGGAAAGTCTAGAATTGAAAATACAGTATTTAAATTTTTTAAATTGCACTGGAAGTGTTCACTAGTAACATGAAGATGACAGAGGTCAATGAACTTGAAGATAAATCAATAGAAATGATGCTATCAGAAGAATAGATAGTAAAATGATTAAAAACGTGAACAGAGTTTTAGGAACCTGTGGGCCAGCATCAAAAATCTTACATACATGTATTTGGAGTCCCAAGAGGAGAGGAGAGAGACAATGGTGAAGAAATAGACCAACATTTACAAAAGTATTTGATTTTTTTAAAGATGCCAAAACAAGCCAATGGGAAAGAAAAGTCTTCAATAAATGGTGCTGGAATAACTAGATACTTATACTGAACAAAATGAACTCTAAACCTTATACCACATCTTACATAAAATGTAATTCAATTAATTAGAATTATAGTCCTAAACATAAAAGTTAAAACCATAGAACTTTTAAAGAAAAGTATAGGAGAATATCTTCATGACCTGCTAGTAGGCAAAGATTTCCTTGACGAGTCATATATTGTTATTCATAAAAGAAAAAAAATGATAAATTATACCACATCAAAATTAAAACTTATGTTCATCAAAAGACATCACTGAGGAAATAAACAGAGAAGCCAAAGAGAAAATATTCTCAAAATATATATCTGATATCTCTCCTGACCTCCCCGAACCCCACCTTCCCCCTGAGATTCATCAGTCTGTCCCATGCTTCTATGTCTCTGAATCTATTTAGTTCACCAGTTTATTTTGTTCATTAGATTCCACATATGAGAAAGATAAATTTAAAAATATATATGATAAATGGCTTTTATCCAGAATATGTAAAAAATGCTTAAAACTCAATAATAAAAAAGGTAAACAACCCAAGTTAAAAATGGGCAAAAGATTTTTTTTTATTGTTGACAGTATTACAGATGTCCCCCATTTCCCCCTCTTTGCCCACCTCCACCCAGCTTCCAACCCATCCCAGGCCTTCACCACACTATTGTCTGTGTCCATGGGCTACGGGCAAAGTATTTCAAGAGATACTTCACCAAAGAAGATGTACAAATGGCCAATACAAAAATGAAAAATCACTTCATATCAGTGACGACTTTAGAAAACAGTATGATAGGTTCTTACAAATTTAAACATACATCTTATGAGCCAGTAATTCCATTTCTAGGTATTTATTCAAGATATATGAAAACATATGTCCACATAAAGACTTTTGCATAAATGTTCAATGCAGCATTACTCATAATAGCCAAAACTGGAAACAATCCAATTGCCCATCAACAGGAGAATAGTCACACAATCTGTGGTATATCCATACAATAGAATATTTATTCAGCAATAAAAAAGAATAAATTTCAGAAACAAAAGAATGAACCTCAAAAACAACAAAAAGAGCATTATGCTACACGAAAGAAGCCTTATACATGACAGTACATATTAATTGTAATAACTATGCACAGTGCCAGATGGGTACTTGAAATATAGGAAGACACTTTGTAAAGTATATGATTGTCTAGCCACTATGCTGAACACCTGAGACTAATACAAAATAATATTGAATGTGAACTATAATTAAAATATAATTTTTTAAGAATGGAACCCCCCCAAAACAGTACATATTATATGATTCCATTTATATAAAGTTCTAGAAGAGGCAAAACTATAGTGGTGCCTGGCTGGTGTGGCTCAGTGGTTAAGCCTCAACGTATGATCCAGGAGGTCATGGTTCGATTCCCGGTCAGGGCACATTCCCTGGGTTGTGGGCTTGATCCCCAGTGGGGGGGGGGGTGCAGGAGGTAACTGATCAATGATTCTCTCTCACCACTGATGTTCCTATATCTCTCTCCCTTTCCCTTCCTCTCTCTAAAATCAATAAAAGCATATTTTAAAAGAAAAAATTATAGTGCAAAAAATATTGGAATAGTGGTTGCCAATGCAGGTAGTAGTTTCAAGAATTGACTGGGAAGAGGCATGAGGGGACTTTTAGGCGTGATAGTAATGTTCTATATCATGATAGGGGTTTAAGTTACACAGATGACACATTTGTCAAAATTCAGAGTGTATACTTAGAATTTGTGCATTTCCCCATATGTAAATTTTATACTTTACTTTTTAAACTATAAGTTTAAAAAATGATGCTCTCTCAAATTGTTTTGAATGGGTTTTGGCAGCCTATGGCTTGCCAAAGTCTGAAGTAATATGGTGTGATGGAAAGGGCCCAGACTTTAAAGCCAGCCAGACATAAGATTGACTCTCAGCTCAGCCATTAGGTTGTGAGTCCATCGGGAAGTTACTTAACTTCCCTGTTTCCTTATCTGTAAAAAGGAGACAGTAACACAATGCTCGACATATAATAAGTGCTCCATAAATGGTACCAAATGATAAACTGGCATTAGAGGTGATTTCGGGACACGGGACCTAAGGTGTATCATTGCAAATCCCATGGATGCCATCCCATCCAAGGTGTTAGCCTACTGAGGGTTATATATGAATCTCCCTTGCAATATTTGTATTTTCATAAGGTCCCCTGAAGATTAAAACCTGACAAAAAGTATCCCCTCTCCCTCCCAAGGAGTAAATGAATGAAGAGTAGGAACAATGCTTGTCTGATTGGCTCTCAGTTCCCTGAACTGCACTCACCTCAGTGTCTGTACCTTCTTTATAGGAGCGAATGCTGAAGACCATGCCTTCAAATGTGCGGTCCACCCTCAGGACAGCTAAAGCCAGGCTGGCCACTGTCAGATTTGCTGTCTTCCCAAAAAAATCCATCTTATGACCAGCACGGTTGATTATCCTCAGAATTCTGCAAGGTACCACAGGTAGAGAAGAGCATGCCTGCCTTTTTGATGTAAAAACTCACCTCCTTTCAAGATTTCCTCAACGTGAGACTTTTCTTTGAGTTTTAATCACTATCTTTATTTTGTTTAGGAATTATTAGATAAGAGCACTGGCTTTGGAGTCAGACAGACTGAGGTCTAAATCTTAGCTCCTCTAATTTCTAATTATGTGGTCAATAAAATAACCTCAGTGAGCTTCCATTTCCTCACCTGCAAAGTCAGAGGTAATACTAGCACTCATCTCAAAAGATTGTCTCAAATATTAAATAAAACTGTTGTATGTAAATCCAGATCCTGCAGGGTCTCATGGGCCAAGAAATTTGGACTTTATACTACATGTAACAGAAAGCCACTGAGTGGTTTTAAAAGCAAGATAATGACATGATATGATATATACATTAAAAGATCATTCTGGCTGGTATGTAGAAAATAGACCATAGAAAGGCAAGAGCAGAACAGGGAGACCAATTTGCAGGTTACTGTAGAAAGCCAGCTGAGAGAAATGAGCCTAGGACTGCATAGTGGTGGTAAAGACAGAGAGAAGTAGATGGATTCCAGGAATATATAAGAGATTCAGAAATTATGTACAGCCTTGGCTGGTGTGGCTTAGTTTGTTGAGCATCCTCCTGTGCACCAAAAGGTTGTCAGTTAGATTTCTGGTCAAGGCACATGCCCGGGTTTCAGGCTCAATCCTTGGTAGGGGACTTGTAGGAGGCAAGGTTCAGTTAAAATTTAAATGCATTATTTCACAACTGAGCTTTCAATGCATAGCTACCTGACCTTTAAAATTTGCAGATACTGTATGTGAAGGAATTAATAACAAATATTTTAAATTTCATGAAACAATTTGTGCTACCAAAGTATTAGTACTTACTCATTGCTTACTTCATGTAGATCAGATACTGAATTGTTTTGTTTTCCCAAAACAGCATCAATTATTTGTAATATAACCTTGGTTAGGTTCATACTTATCTCATCACATTGTGAAATATCAGATAATTTAGAAACAATAATCTTTGTTTCTTCTTCATCCAGAGAGGGGGATTCATTTATCAAATTTAAAATGTGCTTGGCAACATCATCTGCATTCTCTAGAGAAACAAAATAGAAATGTAAAATCTGCATTAGTTTTGGGCCATATTAGTCTACTTCCTTCCCTTTAAAAAGTAAAGGCAGTGAAATGGAAATACAACATAACAAAGTCTACAGAAGGAAAACAATGGACCTCAATTTCTACAATAGATGGAGTCTCAGAAAGTAACACATAAGTCAAGCTTTTATCCATTAAATCCTATTTTAAATACATCAAAGAAACCTTTTTATCACTGAAGAATTATCTTGCAATTAGATTCGAATTAATTTAAGACTTTTTAATAGATTACTTATTGATTTTTAGAGAGAGAGGAAGGGAGAGAGAAATATAGATGTGAGAGAGAGAAATCTATCAGCTGTCCCCTGCATGCCTCCTACCGGGAACCAAGCCCACAACCGGGGCATGTGTCCTGACCAGGAATCAAACCAGCAACCTTTCTGTACACCGGACAATGCCCAATCAACTGAGCCACACCAGCCAGGGCAAGTTAAGACTTTTGAGTATTGGATTGAGTTAAGTAGATCCCACCTTTACTCAAATATTAGCAAACAGTCCATGTTTTCATAATCAAGAGTGGTGATTGTTTTTCTGTCAAGAACCAGCAGCCCACAGAAAAAAAGCAAATATGAACGACATAAAAATAAAAAGAAACTTAATTTATATTTTTTCTAAAGAGTAAGAACAATAGCCCGGCTGGCTCAGTGGTTGAGCATCGACCTAGGATCCAGGTGATTGGGGTTTGATTCCCGGTCAGGGCACATGCCCAGTTTGTGGGCTCGATCCCCAGTCAGGGGTGTGCAGGAGACAGCCGATCAATAACTCTCTCATCATTGATGTTTCTATCTCTCTCTTTCCCTCTCCTTTCCTCTCTCTGAGATCAATAAAGATTTTTTTTTTAAAAAAAAAGAGTAAGAACAATAGATATTAACTCATCCACTTTTTCTTCACTTTTTGTTATGGAAATTTTCAAACATGCACAAAAGTAGAAAGAATAGTCTAATGAATCCCCATGTACCTCATGAATCACCTTACATCAATGAGTGTCAATGAAGAGCTAATCTGATTTTAGCTACACTCCCAGCCACCTTCCTCCAACCCCAGATTATTTTAAAGCAAATTCTAGACAGCATATCATGTCATCCATAAAGACTTCAGTATGCATCTCTAAAACAAAGGACCTTTGCTTATCATAACCACAATACCTGTATCATATCTTTAAAAGGTTACCAATAATACTCAAAATCATCAAATATCCACTCAGTGCTCAAATGTCCTTAATTGTCTTATAAATGTCTTTTAAAAATAGTTTCTGTTTGAATCATTTCCCACTTTTAAAGTTAAGAGCTTTGTTAAACAAATGCAACACAAATTAGATTTTAGTTCAATATAACCCATGTAAAGCTGAGCTCCCTTGTGGTACCCTCTTAGCTTAAATCACTCACATTCAAGTAGAGTAACTAAAATATAATAGAAAATAATTGAAAAATACAATCTGTTGAGAAAAATTCCAGAGAGAACATACCCAGGTTATGTTATAAATGACCAAGTCTGTTTAGAAAAACAAAATAATAAAGCATAAACATCATTCTCTCTCTTTCTCTCTCTCTCTCCTCTCTCAAATAGCTCTTTCTCTCTCTCTCATTGTCATTGTAAATTAAGGAATCTTAACTGAGATCCTCTCAATTTCAACCCCTCCCCTGCTCTTAACCATCACTTCACTCTGCCCAACAATGGCTACATCAGAACTGAGTGGGCAGAGTTCTCTCTGAGGAGGTGAAAGGAAGAGTGGACATTGAACATGTACTAATTACTTCTAAATTAATATTTTGTCCTTGTTACACCTATCTTCTGATCTGCTAAAGAACCTGAGAAAACAAGACTAGGGATGGAAGAAAAATACAGAGTATTCACCCATAGATCTTTTCGCTGCTGTAATTAAATTGTTCAGGCTTTGTTGTAAATGAGATAGCCAGAGCTGCCTACCTGCAGTCATTATTCTTTGGCTTCAGTGGTGTGACTTCACTTCATGCATTTCCTGCTGTGGCAGAATGAAAGTAAACAACAGGCCCCTAGGAGACCAACTATATTGTAGAAAGTAATTCTAGACTTTTCATTTAGAGTTACATAATTTTTAAATAAAATTTCAGGACAAATTACACTCATGTAAAAATTCTAAGTCCCCAAGCAAAAGCAATAAAAGGAATCCTCCTTTAATTGTTTTTGAATAAATATATCTCTATTGCTTAAAATGGCTACAATTACTCTGACAATAATTGCAACAATCAAAACAATAATATTGTCTGTTATTTATTGAACAATTCCCATGAGCCAGCATTCTAGTTCTGACTGCTGTATGTTCCACTCCAAAATGCAACAACTTAAAACAACAATTTATTATTATCCCTCATGTTTCTGTGTTTTGACTGGCCTCATTTGAGCAGTTTTTGCTTGGTGTCTCTTATGCATTTGCAGTCAGATGGCAGCTGGAACTGGAGTCATCTGAAGGCTAGACTGGGCTGGAAGTCCAAGATGGCCCATTACACTGGTCAAAATGATCAAAGATAATCACTCAAAGTTTCTTGAGATTGATGGGAGATATTACAACAGATTGAGATGCACATGTTCAACAAAATCTACTGAAACTTGATAAACACAGTGGGAGGCCATGGCATTTGCGCTAGAACTGCATCCATCTCCCACAGCTCTGCCTTGTGGAGGAATTTTTCCATTGGGCTAGGCAGCCAAGTAGCAGTCACCATCTCCCCCAGGTCCCTGGGGTATAAGAGCTATTCTGAGTGGATTTGACAGCCAGTGAAAACTGGCAGTTCCCATCTTTCTGAATCTGGACTGTAGACAATCCATACTGGGCAGTGATAGCAGCTGAGTGCCAGGAATAAGTCCTCCTTCCTCCCAAATACACACACAGCTCCTGCTCCATAGGGAGGAGCCTGCTGAAGCATCTGATGAATGGCACATACACCATCTCCATCTCCTCCCCAAGCTCTTGATCCATAGGATAAATATATTGCACAGAGGAGGGTAGGAAGGAGTCTCAAAGACAGACAACCCTCTACCCCTGCCAAGGAGACAAACTTTGATTGGATCAGACCATGGAGCAATTTATGGCGCAAGGTCATGTCAAAAACAACAGAGCAATAAACTAGCAATTAGGACGCTAACAGATGTATGTGATATCAATAGAGGCAGACCAGTCAGAAGCTTAAGGAGGGGAAAAAGAAAGAGATGCTCAGAGAGAGCCCAGCTAGAACCACAGTCATCCCCGGTGGTCAGGGAAAATGTGTACATGCTGAAGGCTGCATCTTCTAAGGAGTAGCATCAGAGGATATACACTTCAGGGGAACTAGATTTCACAAAAGTAGAACAAAGTCATCACACTTCTTGGTATCAAAATATATTACAAAGCTAGAGTAGTCAAAACAGTGTGACACTGGTATAAACACAGACATATAGAACAATGAAACAGAATAGAGAGTTCAGAAATAAATCCACACATATACCATCAACTGTTCTCCAACAAGGGTGCCAAAAATACACAATGGGGAAAGGATAGTCTCTTCAACAAATGGTGTTGGGAAAGCTGGATATCCACATGCAAAACAATGATATTGACCCTTATATTACACCATACACAAAAATCAATTCGAAATGGATTTAAGACTTAAATGTAAGACCTGAAACTCTAAAACTCCTTAAAGAAAACATAAGGGAAAAGCTTCATGATCTTTATTATAAGTGACAAAAAGCACAGGCAACAACAAAAACAAAAACAACTGGGACAGCATAAAAAAAACAATCAACAGAGTGGAAAGTCAACCTACATAATGGAATAAAATATTTGCAAACCATATATCTGATAATGAGTTAATCTCCAAAATATACAAAGAATTCCTAAAACTCAATAGCAGAAACAAAAACAAATAACTGATTAAAAATGGGTTAAGGACTTGAACAGACATTTTTCAGAAGAAGACATACAAAAGGCCAACAGATACATGGCAAGGTGCTCAACATCAGTAACCATCAGGGATATGCAAATCAAAACTACTATGAGATATCACTTCATTACTGTCAGAATGACTATTATTAGAAATCAAGAGATAAGCGCTGGCCAGGGTATGGAGGAAAGGGAGCCGTTGTACACTGTTTGTGGGAATGTAAATTGGTACAGCCATTATGAAAAACAGTATGGATATGGAGGTTCCTCAAAAATTAAAAATAGACTAGCATATGATCCAGCAATCCCACTTGTGGGTATATATCCAAAGGAAATGAAATCACTATATTAAAGAGATATCTGCACCTGGCCAGTAAAGCTCAGTTGGCTGGAGCGTCATCCCATTCACCAAAACGTTGTGGTTCAATTTCTGGTCAGTGCAAATGCCCAGGTTGGGGGTTCAGTCCCCAGTTGGGGTGCATACAGGAGGCAAACAATTGATGTTTCTTTCTCACATTGATATTTCTCTTTCTCTCCCTCTCCTTTCCTGTCTCTGTAAAATAATAATAATAATAATAAAAACATTTAAAAATAAAAAGAAATAAATGGATAAAGAAAATGTGACCTATATATAATGGAATATTATATAGCCACAAAATGAAGGAAATCTTGCCATTTGCAACAACATGAATGGATCTTGAGGGTATTATGCTAAGTGTAATAAGCCAGACACAGAAAGACAGATACTGCATAATCTCACATACATGTGAAATCCAAAAAATAGTTGAACTCACAGAAGCACAGGGTAGAATAGCAGTTGTCAGGGGCTGGGGGAAGAGGAAATAGGGAGTTACTAATCAAAAGGCATGAATTTCAGTTAAGCAAAATGAATAAGTTCTAGAGATCTGTTGTACAACATTGTACCTATTATAGTCAATAGTCATGTATTATACACTTAAAAATTTATCAAAAGAGTAGATTATGTTACATGTTGTTACTACAAAAAATAAAATAAAATTAAGCAAGAAACAAAGTTGATTAGAGGTATCCAGGGTCTGGAAGGAGAGGGAAATGAAGAATGACTGCTAATGTGTATGGAAGTTTCTTTTTGAGTAATTAAAATGTTCCGGAATTAATAGCAATGATTGCACAATCTAGAGAATATACTAAGAACCACGGAATTATACACATTAAATTGGTGGATTTTATTATATGTGAATATCTCTATAAAAATTTTTAAACTACATTGAGATATCAATTTCTGCTTATCAAATCACAAAAGATACAGAAGCCTGATGCCATGCTGTGCTGATGAGAGGGTTCTGAAGCAGGCACTTTCATGCCTTGCAAGTGGGAGTATAAATTGGTGCAACTATTACAGAGAGCATTTTAACACCATCAAATGTATGATTGATCCAGTAATTCTACTTTCAGGAATTTGTGCTTCAAGAATAGCCAATTTACACAAAATGACATATGAATGATATCTATTACAGCAGTTTTTAAAAAACAAAATGTTATTAACAACTTAAATGCCCATTCATAGAAAACAGGTTGAAGAAATACATGCAGTATAATACAATGTAGTGGAAATAAGAATGAGAAAGCTCTTCATATACTAATATGATCATTTGTTCAATATATTGTTAAGAGAAAAAAGCAAGGTGCAGAACAGCATGTATGCATGCTCCACTTTGTGTATAAAAGGGGAGGGAAACTATACATATATGTATATGTATTGTGTATGAATATGTACATGTATATATATATACATATATAAATTTCCTTATAGATGCATAAAATATCTCTGTAGATATTAACTGAATGGTTGGGGTCAGCAGTAGGAAGGATATATTTGACTATATTCTTGGTTTTTTCAATACTAAACTATGTGAAGTATTATCTATTAAAACTTTTAATGAAATAAAATAAAATAAAAAATAATTAACCAATTTTTAAAAAATAAAAAACATTATATAACAAAAAACACTGATAGTCTTAACTTGTCATGCCCCACTCTCACCGCCACCAACATTAACTACCTAGTTTCTGAGACTGGATTTCTGAGAGGTAGATTTTCCTATATGAGGTTTCCCTGTACTCTTTCTGGTCTCAGGTCAAGTAAACTAACTGAGGTTCCATTATTTCTTCAATGTGTACAGAACAGTCTTACCATCACTGATAATAATATTAGCAAGATCCACAATCTTATCAGGAAGTTCTTGAAGCAATTGGCATTGTTTAAACTTTGGTTTTTCCCACTGAGATTTGCCAGTATCCATACTGATTGAGCTGAAAAAGAGAGAGAGGAACAACAAACTATCTCAGTGGAAGATGAGGCCAGAATAGTCTTAAAGCAAATGGTGAAGGATCACGGTTTAGCTTTGGCATGCCTCCCCTCTTTACCCACTCCCAGCCTCCTGGCTGAGATAGCAAAGGAGGGAGCCCCATGTTTGTAAAGTGAAGAAAACTTTGCTTTTGGGAAGGAAGTGAACCTAGGGTACCCGGTAGGAAGTATAAACAGGCAAGAGAGCCTGAGATGGGACATGGCAATATCCAGCAAACCAAGAGTCAAGGCAGAGATTTTGCCCTTCTGGAAATGACTCCTTACCCTCACTTTCCCTTCTTACCCCTGTTCCTGTTAGAATGTGGTCTTTATCTCAGCATATTAATTTACTCAAAGCAATTAATATAGCATCCTCTATAGCTCATTGACCCCCCTCATCTACCCTCCACTATGCTTCATCCAGTTCAAACCAGTTCATTTCAAGTCAACTAACACATTTATTGAGTACCCACTATGTTCTAGGACTAGTAGCAGGTGACGAAGACAAACAGGGTAGGGTCTCATCCCTGGAGGAGCTTGTAACTTGGTTTGAGACTGTAAATGTAACTACATTTAATAGGCAAAATAGGAGAACAGTGATATAAACAAAACTGAATCTATCAAACCACCAAGGAAGGAAAATATATTTGCAACTTTTGAGCTAACCTGGTTGCTGAAAGAACAGAGTTGGAAAAAGCCCCACCAGCAGCAGCAGCCACAGAGCAAATAGCATAAGCAAAAAAAGACACGAGGAAGCACCATTAAGTTGGCAAATGGCCTTTTTTGACTGGAATGCATTAAAGAAGGGAGCCTGCAGGTCTAGAGTACTGTGTTTAGAGATTTGCACTTAATTCTTGAGGCAATGTGAAACCAGAGTGAGAAAGTGGCATGATGGCAACCATACTTTAATAAAATCACACTGGCAGCAGTATGGAGTATAGCTGGTGGGTAATGGACAGTTAGAAGACAAGGAAACTGCTCTAATAGTGGGCAAGATATATTAAGAGCCTGCACTAGGGTAGTGGCTGTGTGCTTGTAGAGGAAAGGCGAGATGTGAGCTCTGCATTTGAGTTTTTGTAAAATCTGCATGATTTGCTGACTGATTAGATGTAGGGAGTAAGAGGTAGACTACGATTCAAGATGTTGCCCTCCAAAAGAGAGCTTTTAGAGCTTCTGTCAAAACTGGCTGCCCTTCTGTTGTGTCCACTTAACTTAAAGACAGAAACCCTTAACATCAGAGAGTAATAGAAGAGGGGCTGATGATTTTAAGAAGGAAAATGATAAAATCTACAATAGAAGAGTGACTTAGTAAATTGTTATGGCCCATCAATGAGTTAGCTTCTGAGGCAGTTTTTCAAAATGGTCATTAAGAAGATGACTGTCAAACATGGAAAATATTGATAAACCGTTGAATGAAAGGTAAATTCCATTATTATTTTTTGTTGTTAATCTTCACTTGAGTATATTTTTTCCATTGATTTTTAGAGAGTGGAAGGAGAGGAAGGAGGGGAGGGAGAGAGAGAGGGAGGGAGGGAGAGAGAGAGAGAGAGAGAGAGAGAGAGAGAGAGAGAGAGAGAGAGAGAGA